CATTTTTCATTATTATTATTATTTAATTGAATTGTATTTTTTGACTTGTTTTTTTGTATACTGTAAATATGTTTTCTTGTTTAAAAAAAAAAGAAAATAGTTGAGAAAATACAAAAAAAAAAAGCCCGCTGAGTTTGTTTCGCCGGTTCTTCTCAGGACTGTGGCTTTTTTTGGAACCGGTGGTAGAGTTAACATTTTCTTTTACATTTTGACATTCAACAAGTGTGTTTTTGATGACATCCAAGTTGAAATAAATGATTTTGAATTTGAATTTGAATTTGAATTTAGAGCAAGAAAACATAGAATTATTAGACCATCCGCCGTACAGCCCCGACCTAAGCCCTAATGATTTCTATACTTTCCCTAAAATAAAGAATAAATTGCGTGGACAGCAGATTTTCATCACCTGAAGCAACTGTGCCCGAAGCTGTGGACGCCTACAAAACGGTCATTTTGGAGACCCCAACTTCCGAATGGAATGGTTGCTTCAATGATTGGTTCCATCGTATGGAAAAATGTGTCAAATTTCGCGGAGAATACTTCGAAAAGCAATAAATACATTTTTAAATAGTAATGTTGTGTCACTTCGTTAATTCCCGAAATTTTCAGTGCCGCCTAGGTATTTAATAATTTTGGCTAATCTTTAGTGTAGGTATTAGGTAGGTATCTAATTAACTATGATAATTAGCAGAGCAAATAGTTAAAGACAAGCATGGGCTAAATTCACCTATTTTTTTCTTTAGGCATTGGCTTAAGAGCCATTAAGCAGATAAATCGTTGGTAGATCACAATGATGCAACAAGCCAGTCACTTAAAATTAGACCAACTTACCTATGCGTTAAATTGGTGTATCGAAAGCCCGAGTCGGTATCAGCGAGCCAGCAGTGTTAATGACTGTCAGAAAAAACAATCATTCTGTAGCAGTTTGAAAGTGCCATCAAGTCTCCAGTCCCATCAAGATGTATTTGCCGATTCCAGGTGGCCGTAAGGTGGAAATTGTTTGAAATTGCAGGTACATAGCCGTTGATATCCAGTTGTTCATTTTTGGATTAATTATATATCTGGTGTGCCGAACTTCAAAATCTAGGAAGATAGTTCTCCCAACTTGGTTTTTCATCGGCATCGCCATTACAGCAGCTCACACCTACTTCGAAGACTTGGACGGCACCGTCATGACTACTCCTGAGTAAGTGAAAGTGATTGTTGAAAGTTTTTTTGAAATAAAAGTAAAAACTTAACATCGTATTTGAGGACATTCCTGACCACTATCTCTTATTCTTTCTCTTTCTCTCCAGTCTTCCCATTAAAATTTAAATCAAATAAAAATGACAATAATAAGTTTCACTAAGCCCTGCGCAGTGATTTGCCTGTTACCCAATAGTATTATTAGAGTCATCTAATATCAAAGGCGGCAATATCCACTCTTGGCCGAAATTAAACCTTAGATGTCATTTTATTCATCTGTGGACGCAGTTTGTATCGAAAATTTCATTGGACATCAGATACGGCAATATCCCATGCAAAACACTATTTCAAGTTCAATATGAAGTTTGTAACAAACACGACTTTGTCCCTTGCCATTCAAATCAAATCTGGCAATATCCATGTCGACCAATCAGAGCGCAGAATTTAGTATGGCGCCCACGCTGTTTGTAACTGACGACCGGTGTGTGTTTTTATTGTTTTTCGTCGACTTTAAGTGTTATTTGAAAGTATATATTAAGAAAAACTTGAAATATGGAGTGTCGAGCATGTCCGAGTACATCCAATCAATCCCGAAAACGCACAGCTCAGCCAGAAACTTGGAAAAAAAACGTAGCAAAACGAGAGCGGTAAGTTACATTGCCTAAACAGGTTTGATACTTTCTAGACATATTTAAAATTTATTGCGTGGTATTTTTTATGTAATTACCTACATCATTATTATAGGATCAATATACATTGTAACGGACTGCAATAAAAAATAAGATGATCGGTTTGACTGTTACGTAAATTGTTGTACATTATGTGAAGAACATACTTGCAGTGTGAGCAGTGGGTCTTAATCATGTACAATGTATAATACATTATTGGTGATATAAGATGATGTGCTTTGGAAACTATCTTTTGCATATTGGTTAAAAAAATTTACCAACAAAGCATATACAGTCCCCCGCACAGTTTACCGGTTGCATATATGTACCTACATTGCATAATTTATTAATATCATGTGTTTTATCTTCCAAAAGGTACTCATCGGTTACACTTGCAACAAAGCCTATGTGCCAACACCGTAAAGGAGTTTTTAAATGCGGAGCACTGACAATGCGAGATTTGACGACTTTTCATAGTGCATTTTATAAACACCCAGAGAAAGAAACTCGAGATGCTTTTCTTCTCAAATACTGTACTGCTACAATTCCGAAAAGAAAAAGACCTACGACTAAAACACATACCCCAAAAAAATTTCATACAAAATTCACAGTGTATAGCATAGAAGACAAAAAAAGAATTCCTGTTTGTCAGAAAGCTTTCCTCGGCATCTTGAATATAACAAAACACAGAGTGCAATATATTACAAAAAAGTTTTTAGAAACTGGTGGGGACCCAGTGAAAGAGAAAAGAGGAGGTGATCACAAGTCTCATTTATTCACAGAAAAGAAGAAGTCAGTGATGCTATTTATTAACATGTTTCATGTTGACGAACCGCATTATTGTCGGGGACATTCACAGCGACGATATTTGCTAGCGACACTTTCCATCAACAAAATGTGGAAAATGTACAATAACCAACCAAATATCGAAGTAAAGTTAAAAGTTACGAAAGGTTATTTTAGAAAAATTTTCAATAATAAATATAATCTCGGTTTCGGCAGCCCCCGGACAGACGTATGCTCAGTATGCCTTCAACTGCTAGAAAAAATTAAAAGAGAAAAGATTGAAACGCTAAAGCAAGGATTTCGGATAGAGCACAGAGTCCATAAGCTGAAAGCCAAAGCTTTCTTTAATTTAGTAAAAGCGGAAAGACCTGATTTGAAAACATTTTCTTTTGATTGTCAAAAGAATCTGCCTTTACCCAAAATACCCGATCAAATAACTTACTATTCGCGGCAATTTTATCTGTATAAATGTACAGTCGTAGAAGGTTCGTCAAAGTCTCCTCTTACGAAAGACAATGTCTTTGCTTACTGCTGGACCGAAAACGAGTATTGCATCCATTGTATTTCATAGATTAAGAAATACAGACTTAACTGGTATAAAAACGGTGAGACTAATAGCCGATGGATGCCCAGGGCAAAATAAAAATACAACCAAGATCGCAATGTGCTCAAAATGGTTAGTAGATTTGGCTCCTAATCATGTGCGAAAAATCGAAATAGTTTTCCCTGTGGTGGGACATTCCTTTATCCCGCCAGACAGGGTATTTGCTCATGTGGAAAAAGATGTGAGAAAATTGGAATCCATTATAAAACCAGAAGATTACCTGGAAATAATAGGCACACACAGCACTATTGTTCGATTAGGTTCTGACTGTGAGGTATTCGATTTCAAAAATAGTATGGGCACGGTGATAAAGGATGTAGGGTCTTGGCACTTTCAGTTTAAAAAATCCAAAATATTTTATATACAACGATCTGCCCAGGCAGACAATGTTGCAGTACAAGGCGAGGTACACTTTAATAATACTCAAAGTGTTTTGAAAAAGGTGACTCGGAGAAATAAAAAAGTCAGTGACATGAACCCCGAGGTCATTCGAATAAGATCTGTAAAAGTAAAACCTGCTAAAGTAGCAGATGTCAAAAAACTGTTAAGCAGCCATTGCGGTGATGATTGGCAAAACGAGAATGGATTGGAGTTTTATGTAAACATTTTCTCTCAAACATCAAATGTAGAAGATGACGAAGATAATGACCCAACAGAATTACTTTGTGAACCACGTATTGAAGATAACTGTGTAATCTAACATTGGAGAGTAATGTCTGAAATTTTTCAAAATATAATTTTAAAAAATAATTCTTGTTTTTTTCATTTATCTAAGAATAAGTTACTGTATGATTCGAATGTTAATACCTTCTAAAATAACCATTAGTCTCGTAAAATATTATACGATCTTATGTAATTGTACCAAAATTGCCTACTAGCTGATATTCTAAAATAAATAATTTCTAGTATCGTTCTTACATGTTTATTTCATGTCGTTAGGTTCAAGGTAATATCGAAATTCAATACCCATTCATAAAGTATCAACATTTTATAAACTATGAGACACCTTTTAAACATGGCGGACAACTCTAACAAACATGGCTTTCTCCATCCCCGTCTAGATCAAATCCGGTAATATCCACATGTTTCTATCAAATCCGGCAATCTCCAATGATTTTACGTAAATATCTTGTCTGTTTGATGATACATATTTAAGGAAACCATTGTAAAGTGTTCAGAATGTTGTTAATTTGTTCTATAATTAGTCTCAAAGCAGTAAGATAATAATTTTCTCTGATTATACAAATTTGTCATTTTCTACAAATCTACTTAAGTGGATATTGCCGCCTTTGATATTAGATGACTCTATTGTTCCATCTAACAGAGTCATTCGGAACCACATCAGGGGAGACCCGACGTTCTTAAAAGTGTACAGACGAAGTCACACCAATATACCCTGTTACATCCTGGGGATGGGTGCAGGATACCTGTTTTATTATTGGCAGAAGATTGACCTCAATTTGGATAAATTAAAGGTATTTTTCTCCGTAATTTACGAAATGTATATGAATGTTACCGGTGATGACGTCAGGCAAGACTGTAATGTATGTGCTAAGTGGTCACCAGTGATGGATTCACGCCTAGGTCCGTGAGGCCTGAGCCTAGGGGGATGATTTGAGGGGCGGCAAAATTTTTGAAATGTCAAAATTTCAGAAAAGAAATAAAGTAGACAAAAGTAAAAATAACTTTTTAGCGACTGAAAATAGCTTTATGAAACAAATTATATATATATTTAAAATAAAAATATTTGGATTAAAGTTCATGAAATTTATTCTAACAGCTTTTATGAGTCCGCACGGGTAGGTACCACCACCCTGCCTATTTCTGCCGTGAAGCAGTAATGCGTTTCGGTTTGAAGGGTGGGGCAGCCGTTATACTGTAAAAACTGAAACCTTGGAACACGTGTCTCAACCACTTAGCATGAGGTGCACTGTGAGCTCGTCCCCCATCTATGCAATAAATAAAAAAGTCAAAACAACATGTTGTTGTTGTTTTGACTGGCAGTTTCACTGGTCTATTAACTTCGGAGAGTACACTTCTAATACGGAAGTATACCTTGCTAACCCACCTAGACCCTGGACTTTCTCTACATCCATATCAACAATACTCATAGTAGGTATTTCAACAAATTATTTTATAGCAAACTTTCACATAACTGAAATGACCAGGGTTACATATGTAAAACTTTTACAAACTTATTTTTTTTAGAAATATAACATGCTCTGCTGGATGGCTGGTCCCCTGCCACTAGTCCTGGATTGTGGCATTATAGTTTTGGCCTCGTATTTCTACATGGACGCGCCTAGATCTTCAGTTATGTTGAGAACAATTTATGCTGCAACTGCGAAACCTGTTTTTGGATTACTTTTAACAGTACTCCTATGCGCAATGATCATGAAACTTGAAAGTACGTATGGCTTTCTTACTTATCAACTATTAGACATCGTATAGAAGTCTTATAGTTGCCTTATTACCAAAGGAATATTAATTTTATTAACAAATAGATGTAATAATGAGAGGAGCTCACGGCCTTCCTGATGACAAATAATTACAGAGACCACGGCCCGCGAATGAACGCACCCTCCTTGGTATTAATAGTTAAAAAACATATGCACATGCAGTTGTGGCAACCAATTGAGTTTCTCAGTGGGCCGAGATTCTCATCTGGTAGTAGATTCAGCGGCTAGTGTTCGAAAATTCTCTCCGATTGAGCCCTGTGCGTTCACCTCCCATTGTAGGCAGCGGCTTAGCTGTGCTCCTGGTATTACTTTCGTCCATAAGCGACGCTAACCACTCATCTTCAGGTGGGCCATATGCTCATCTGTCTACACGAGCAATAAAAATAAATAAAAAATCACCAGAACTATAACAGATAACTGATATAGATATGGAAGTCTGAAGAGAAAGAATAAAATGGCGGTGGGGCGTATTGTGCTCTGCGTGGGTACCAGCGTCCTACTCATTTCTGGTTTGACGTCCGGCCAGTCGTCATGCAATACAATTGAGACCATGTCTCGAGGTTGGTGGCGGCATTCTCGTTGTGATGCCCGTACGCTCCAGTAACCAGCTAGCACCATTTAGTGTAATATGAAGAAATTAATGAAAAAATTGTCAATTCTGTAGCAAAACTGGAGGGTAGAAGCAAGGAGCACCATCTTTTATAGAGGAAAAGTGGAAAAAGTGTCCACCTTTATACCGCAAGTTCTTGTTGGAAGAGTCACTGAAATAGAGTATTTAAAATCTCAACTATTTATTTTTATTACTATATACATAGGAAGTATTTGTTTCCTTCTTAATTTACTATCCTACTCTAATAATTTATGGCATTGTTTTTAACATTTGTCCACTAGATATTTTTTCTTCATAATTACTTTACGAGTAATAGCTCCCATTCAGCGAACACTTTTTAATACACTAAGATAGTGCTCCTTACTTCTTAAGCAAAACGGAAGTCTTAGTCGTCTCTCAAATATTATACTATCTCATATATTATGATGTATCTCTATATCAGATGTCTTTCGTCTAATGTTCGAGTGGGATTGGTGGGCGATCGTGGCGCGACTCTCTTACTGCATCTACACTCTCCATATGACCATTATTCGGTACACCGCATCACTGTCCACCGTTCCTTTCCAGCATTCGCCTATGGCAATGGTAAGCGAAATAAATTCACCTCAGGAATATCACACACCACATACATATGTACATGGTTTGAGTTAATCTACGGCACATACACAAAGCGTGCCTGACTAGACTGGACACTAAGGACATACCAACGATACGCCAGGGTCTAAGTCCTAAATGATTATTCTTATTTCAGGCTCAATACTACCTTTTCATCTGGATCGTCTCTTTGCTCTTCTCCATTCCGCTGTGGTTGCTGGTCGAAGAACCGATGAATCAAATGTGGAAACGGTGTCTAAGCTCTTCCTCTAGGACGGCGCACACACAGAAGAAAATTGAACCGGAATTGCAAACAAAATCAAAGTTTTAAATAGAGAGATTCATCAACATCATCAACAGAACACGGCCGTTCACTTCTGGGTTTATATCCTCCGAGGTTTGCTATAATTACCGGTTCTGGGCTACATGCGTCCAGTGGATACCGTCACCTTCAGCATGTGGTCAAAAAGAGTATAATGCATACATTTATTGTGACATGTCTTATTTTTGCTCGATATTCAGATTTGGTAACCAAAGACCTTGAAAACAGGAACATGAGGTCCTTTTTAATTCGGTCCACCTCGGTGGCCTACCCACATACATAACAAAATGGGTAAATTTATTATGACGTATATAGTCCTGTACATAGTCCTGCCGCAGTGGCAATCCATCGAGCGCCGCAGGTAGCATTTTGTGCATTTAGCGGTTCACTTGTTACGACAGCTGATATAAACGAATTGTTTATCTCTATGTTCTTTCAATAAAATACGAAATGCAATTGAATGTTACAAAGAAAATAGTCTAAAGAGTAGTATTAACTGATGGTAGCCTCTTGTGATCCTGCACTGGTAGGTACCACAGCCAGTATCCGGAAAAAATGCAATAAAAATAACGCGAAGGAAATAAACGCACAGGAAAAGTCCCCAAGAAATATCCACACAAGGATTGAATTGCACAAAGAAAACTCACACCAGAAAAAAAAAATTATTTGTGCTTTTTTGAAAATTAGATTTGTCAAGTCAAACATATAAAGTGCTCATTTTTACGAAATCTAATTCTTTTTTGTACTTTAAATTCACTTTTATTTTATACTCAATGGAGTTTTCGACGAGCCAGAAAGACGAGCAACTTCTCGTTTGTAGTGGTTTGAACACAGATAATACACGGTTATGAATACCTTCATAACCGTGTATTGTCTGGTATCATGGTAACGACGTCAGATTAAACGAATTAAATCGAATTTTAATACTGGGAGATCAAGAATTACAGTCTCCATTAAGCCAAACCATACAAGCGCCTATATAAACTACGTTCATAATAAATGTACCTACGTGCAAAATTTTACTAGTTAAGGCGTTTACTTTACATAAGATAGCATACCTAACGCATAACGCAATAAATGAGTTCTTTGCAAATGTTGGAAAGAGTTATGCATCGAAAATAACTAATAAGTCAAATACTTCACGCAACAAGCAACGTCCGAGTATCACAACTACATCATCTGAGAACTCAATGACGCTCTTCGGTACGGATATTCATGAAGTGATGGAAGTGATAAATGGCTTGAGAGGGGATTGTGCGGTAGGTTGGGATGATATACCAGCTGCTTTAATAAAGGCGGCTGGCTGGTCTCATTCTCGCTCCAGTGCTTTGTCATGTTTTCAATACTTGTATTGATTCCGGTATCTTTCCAACAGTTTTTAAAAAAACATTAGTGCACCCCATACACAAGAATGGTGATAAGATGAATATTACAAATTACAGGCCCATATCAGTTTTATCAACCTTATCTAAGATCTTTGAGAAATTATTAAATAAGAGACTGCTAAATTACCTGAAAACGTATAACATAATTGCCCAAAACCAATACGGTTTTAGATCTGGTAGATTCACTGAAGACGCAGCACTGGAATTAACCTCCACTATATTAGAACACCTAAACAACAAAGCTAAAACGCTCGCCATTTTCCTCGATCTATCAAAGGCGTTTGACACTGTATCTGTACCTATATTGCTGAGTAAACTGGAAGTCATTGGTATCAGGGGACACTCAATCAAAATATTTCAAAGCTATCTGTCTAACCGCTCACAAATAGTCACCATTGATAATACCACCAGTGAAGAAGCGTCTGTCACTTACGGTGTCCCGCAAGGCAGTGTCCTTGGGCCTACCCTATTTCTTCTGTACATAAACGAGCTTTGCTTGTTAAAAATTAAAAATACAAATATCGTTACATACGCTGATGACACAGCTGTAGTTGTTCATGGTGATAACTGGATAGAGACGCGTTTATGTGCAGAGGAAGCGCTGGAGACAGTATCTGATTGGCTTAAAACTAACTTGTTGACCCTTAATATGGAAAAAACTAGATTTGTTACCTTCTCTCCGAGGAATGTATCGCAGCCACCGCTTTCCTTTTCCTTGACTGTTCATCAATGCCATTCAGAAACGAACACACATGATCTTTGTCCAAAAATTTCACGAACTAATGCTGTAAAATATCTTGGTCTAAAAATTGACGGCACCCTATCTTGGCAAGAGCATATAAATGATTTGGTTGGAAAAGTACGAAAGCTTATCTTTGTCTTTCGGAAGCTAAGAACATCAAGCGATCTCCATATACTGAAAATGGTTTATTATGCTTTGGCACACTCTGTCATAACCTATTGCATTGTCGTCTGGGGAGGCTGTAGGAAAGGATTATTACTTAGATTGGAAAGAGCACAGAGAGCCGTACTTAAAGTAACATATAAAAAACCAATAAGGTTTCCAACGGAGGAATTGTATGATATCTGCAAAGTGCCTCGAGTTAGACAATCTTTTATTAGGAGCACATTGTTACGTAAACATTTGGAACTCGTTTTTGACCCTAATATCTGTTCGCAAACTCGTCGTCAGGGCAGAGTGTGCAAAATCTATGTAGCAAATTATAATGTAGTCAGGTCTCACTATAGGTATTTAAGCTCTATTCTGTACAACAAGATAAATAAATTACTAAATATTTACCCACTTATTTCTAAAGAAATGAGTGAGTGTTGAGATGACGGCTGATAGAAGAGAATGGAAGAGAAAAATTAGCTGTGCCGACCCCACATAGTGGGATAAGGTGGAGAAAAAGAAGAAGATTTCTAAAGAAATTAAAATTATCATTGATAGATGGCTTTTCTCCCTTACATACGAAAGTATAGAAGAATTACTGGAGTAGATTATACATTTTTACACATTTCTTGTAATGAGCAATTTATATATTAGGTATCAACACGCATCTACACATACACTAATTGTACTTCTAGATTTTGAAATAATATTATATTAATTTGATAATTGTATCTAAAATTAATTATTATAATGTGTTTATGAAATATTTAAATTTATATGTTATTGTTCGTTGTGTATAGGGGTTGGCGTTGTTATCTGCAACAGATCTATGACTACAGCAGATAACATCGTTTCAATATTTGTTATTATGATTAAAATTGTATGTTTTTGTAATAAATAAATAAATAAATAAATAAAAATAAAAATACTTAAGTACCACCTACCTACCATCACCTTTCACTTTTCAATTAAACTAAGCTCACGGCAATTTCTCAAATACATTGCATTTTTATTTTTGATTTCCTCGAGTTTCCTATTATCCCCCACACGTACTATTGGACGATAAACGTTTCGACAAAGCACAAAATATGCTTTATCAACTTTATACTATCCATGCCGAACTACGAAACGTTTAATTATTCGGACTTATCCAATATTGAGGTTTCGTAGTGCATACATACTATATTCTCTATCTATTAAACTCTCTATATGTGCGAAGTTCCCTGACCTATACGGAGACCGATTCAGATATAATTATATAATGTCCGTCCCTTACCATAGCGCACAGATAAGTTCTCATAATTTCTCTGTGATCAACACTAAACACATCATATTTGTAGAGGCACGTCTAAACTTTTTCTCCCTGGGTACAGACTAAGTGCGAATGCGCTTTAGTGTCTACGTCTGCTCTCACACATCTAAAATTCTCCGCCATTGTTGTGCTCGGGTAATTTGGAATATTGTGTTCAGTGGCGTAGTTAGGTAACCAAGGGCCCTGGGGCAAATTAAAAAATGGGGCCCCACTGCTATTGTACACTGATTAGGTTTTATCAAAT